AGTTAACCTAATCTAACACCTACAGGTGTTCCCAGAAGCTAACATAGTTCAGACAAATACACATACTCAGAAGTTTGTCTTCTAAGTAATTCAAGATCCTGGCAAATTGGCAATCAATATTAACCTTCACAGATTCAGAGCAGCAATGTCAAAGGCTTCTTCTTTACCCCAAATCCTTGGCAGTATTTGTTATTTTGATGAAAGCTATTCTGGCTAGGATGTCAAAGAATTTCAAAGCAATTTGAATGTGCATTTCCCTGATGGCTAGCAGGTGTTGTCCTACTTTTGGTAAGTCTCTGTTCTTTTCACTTATAGATTTTTTTAAATAATTATTTATTTTATGTCTGAGTACACTGTAGCTGTCTTTAGACATACCAGAAGATGGATGGCATCAAATCCCATTACAGATGGTTGTGAACCACCATGTGGTTGCTGGGAATTGAACTCAGGACCTCTGGAAGAGCAGTCAGTGCTCTTAACTGATGAGCCATCTCTCCAGCCCCACTTGTACATTTGTTTGTTTGTTCTTTTGTTTTTCAAGACAGGATTCCTCCATGTAGCCCTATTTGTCCTGAAACGTGCTCTATACACCAGGCTGGTCTTGAACTCACAGAGATCTGCCTGCCTCTGCCTTCCTAGTGCTGGGATTAAAGGTGTGTGCCACCACTCCCCTGCCACTTGCACATTTATTGATAGGATTATTTGTTTTTCTTGGTTTTGGTTCCTTTTGAATTTGTTAGGTATGATGGATATTAATCCCCTGTAGGGGATTGCTGGCAACAATTTGAGAGATAGAAACACACACACACATACACACACACACACACAGATACACACACACACACACACAGATACACACACACACACACACGTCTATGCCTATTCTGCTCTTTTACTTGGAATCTTTGCTATTTTATCTCAAATTTGGGTTCACAGTTTCCTAATATGTAGTAAGTACTCTTTGTCAATCAAGGTTCTTTTAATCACTTCACGATGTTGCAGATGATGAAGGCTAGGGATCTTTCAAAGGGACCAGATAGAGGTCTTTACCCTGTATTTTCAGGTCTTCATCACCAGCAAAGGAACAGAGACAGATAGGATAAGGAATTGAAAGCAAATATACTTAAGGGGTAAGTACAGTCTTCTCAAGCTGGGGGAATCAGTGGAAGTTTTATTTATTTATTTATTTATTTATTTATTTATTTATTTTTGTCTTTGAGTCATGACCTTTTTCTGTAACCCAGGTTGTCCTGGAACTAATCAGTTGTCTTCATCTCAAAGCACTTTTATGTGGATGCTAGGAATCTAGACTCAGGTCTTTGTGCAGTCGTGTCAAGCTAATTCACCCCTCAGCCCGTGGAGGCATCACTATCTACAGTAATGATAATATAAAATATATTGATAATATAATGAGAATAATAGAGGAACTGTTAGTTACTGGTCACCTTGGTAGACTATGTTTAGCCAAACTATGTTTTGAGATACATGTGTTTATTTCCTTCTTTTTTTTCACTGTTGGAATGGTGACATGATGTTCTATTGTAGTAAAGGCATACAGTTGCACCAGCCTTTAGCAACTGTGCAGTTTGCCTCTTTTATTCTTTTGCCTATCACATTTACCTCAGTGGCTCCCTCCTCCCAGGTCTGACGTCTGAGTTCCAGAATGCTCATGTATGGAACTGGATGATCAGTTAGGAATGGGCATATGTAGAGACTATCTTTGATTTCACCATGTCATCACATGCATATCCTTGGCAAGTTCTTCCAGTAGCCCCTGGTAGTGCTCTTTGTAGTTTTGTCTGCAATCTTTTTATCCCAATTGTAGGCATCCTTCTGGTATACAGACTTTCAACATCTTTTTAGTTTGTAAGGAGACTTGATAAGGCAGCCTCAGGACTGTCTGTCTATCTGAGCCATGTGCCTGTCTGATTTTGCATCTTGCTAGGCATGAGAGAATTTCCGAGAGCTCCAGTTTCCGCACTTTCTCCATGGGAACTGGGGTATGGAGAGAAAAGGAAGTCCTGGGTGAGTGAAGTTCTGTCTGAGTGAGCATGTGTTCTTGGCATGGACACAGCCAACTCAAAGACTCTAACCTTAGGCCTAGAAGAAAATGCCGAAGCCTTCTTTGGGTGTCCAAGTGTGGATGTTGATAGTATGTGCAGAAAATGTCTACCACGGCTTTCTTCCTTCAGGTATTTATAGCCTGAAGGATTTTCCCTTATAGAGACTGCTCCTACTGAGATTAGCTAAATCTGTTTTTGTGGTTCAGTTATATGCCATAAACATTGACTTCTTTTTTATCTGTACAGAATCACCCAGCCTCCTTGCTCAGCTGCATGCAACAAAATCTCTGTTCAACTCTATGTAATTGTCCTAGTTAGGGTTTTGCTGTGACAAAACCCCATGACTGAAAAGCAAGTTGGGGTGAAAAGGGTTTATTCAGCTTACATGTCTACATTGATGTTCATCACCAAAAGAAACTCAAGACAGGAATTCAAACAAGTCAAGATCCTGGAGGAAGGAGCTAATGCAGAGGCGATGGAGGAATGTTGCTTTCTGACTTGCTCCTCATGACTTGCTCACCCTGTTTTCTTACAGAACCCAGGACCTCCAGCCCAGGGATGGTACAACCCACAATGGGCTGGGTACTCCCTCATCAATAACTAATTAAGAAAATTCCTTACAGCAAATCTTATGGAGGCATTTACTCAATTGAGGTTCTCTCTATTCAGCTAATTCTAGCCTGCTCATCAAGTTGACACAAGACCAGCCAGCACAATAATAAACACACTGAGCTCCCAGGGTACTGTGGTTTCTCCATTAGAGAGCCTAGTCCACCTGATCCCAGTTTTTCTATTTGTGTTTCTCTGTGTGTTTATCTTTTCCCTATACACTCTAGTCAGATTCACTCTTGGAGCCTTGCTGGACAGGGCAGTTGGTTCCTGACTTCATAATACGTATAGATATTATGCCCTAAGCTCTTAATGGTTCTGATTTTAGATTATGAAGTTCAAAATCTCCAGTTATAGTATCTCAAAAATCATTTTTTATTAGTATACTCACCTCTTTCTTTTCTTTTGATTTATATGAGACATGATTGGGCTTAAACTCCAAATCTTCTGCCTCAGCTTCCCAAGTGTCAGGATTTTGGATGCACAGCACCATGCTTGACTTTTAGTTTTTGTTTGCTTGTTTGTTTTGAGACATGCTTTCCCTGTCAACTTTTATTTTTATTTTTAATTTTTTTAGATTCTCTCTATGTTGTCCAGGATAGTCTCTGCCAAGATTCTCTAAAATTTATATAGAAATTGAAAAGTCAACAGTGAACTTTTGCCATGATTCCCAGTGATATTCTGAGCCTGTAAGCAGAATGGGATGCTACATTCTGGTGGGGATAGGTTGGGGAAGTAAGTACCTTCATCACTATCAGAGCCTCTACGGTTATCTTTGCTGCTTGGCGAGTTATCCTCTCACATGTTTAAAATTTATCTTTTCATCTAAATACTAGTTTTTTTGAGGTTAGAACTGTACTTTGAAAGTATTTCTTTAAGGTTGGCATCATATTTTCTTTTTTGTCCTTATACTAAGAATACAAGGATTATTATTCACAGATTAGTTGAAAGCTTAGCTTTTTGTTCCTTTCCGTTTCATTAATTAACTTTGCTTACATTTAAGCAACTGGTGAATTTGATTAATATACTTTGAAAATAATTCCAAAAATACAGATGCTTACAACATTAACTTTGTACAATTTTTAAAAGGAACATTTTAGTTATTTGGAAAACTGCATGAATATAAAAGAAGGGCTGAAACTGAAAAAGCATAATGTTATGTACCTTTAAAAATGATATTTCCTTTGACTTTTCATTTTTCAGTGTCAAATTGACAGGTCTGTTTCAGTAGTCCAGCCCTTGTGATCAAAGACAACCAGTTCTCCTCACTGTTGCCCATTGCTCAAATTCCAGGAATGCCAGTGTGTTCCTTTTTTTAGAAAATGCAGCTGCTGGTTTCTGGCTTGTTTTCTCCACCCCAGACTTCAATGACAACTGCTAAAGTCATGGAAGGGGGAGGGAAAGTGTGGGAAGGCTTACTATCAGGAAAGAATTTTAATAACTAGGGTAGAGGTAAACTTGTCAGTTGAGTGTAGACATTTTTAGGATATATTCTGTGATGTGAGAAGAATACAAAGAAAAATCCAACATAGCTTTAAAAGGTAGGGGGTAACATTGGTCTTTCATAATTTATCAGTCATAAATTAGTTTCAGAATTCTTGTCAACTGTTTCATCAATGTATCAAACACTTGCAGAATCGCTCCTATATCCTGATTGCTGTCTAGGCCCCAGGAAAGAAAATTTCAAACTTGACCAACATTACAGTTCTTGTTTCAGTAGAATTTGCCACATATTTCTTCAATCTTTTTCTCATAACTCACTTGCCACGTGGCTCTCCAGACAGCAATATCTCCACTTTTTTTTCCTGGGCACAACATGATCCTTTTGTCCAATTCCTAAAGCCCTTTGTAATCAAATTTTGTGCTATTGTACAGTCCCATTTCTTCTTCTCAGCTTTTTATTTTGTAGTGAGTAGGCCATGCCAGAGTGCCACCATCTAATTGTATGTCTGTAGCCCCAACTTCTATTTACCCTTTATGCTTGAGCTGCACTGACACATGCCATCTGGTGAGTCTTCCTTGCCCTTGGCTATGTTAGGGTCCTTTTCTTTATGCTACCTTTGTGCCTACCACTGTTATAATCCCCAGTATTATAATATTGAGATTATTTGTATCTAGTTTATCTTCTTCCATAAGCGAAAGATGAGTTGCAGCCTTTCTTCTTTGTATCTCAAGCATATACTATAGGCATGGTATACGTCAAGTATACAGTGAGTGATGGCCTGGTGAGTGAATGAATTAATCATCTTTCATTTTTTTATATAGCCACTGCAAATTAATTTTCTAGCCTTCTTTTCTCCCACTATTTCTCATGAATTCTCTTTTCAGAATGCTATCAGAAGGATATCTCAGTGGACTTACCTACTGGAAGGACATTCACTGGAATTGTGCATCTTATAATGAGCCAGTGGCTGGGAACCAGGGTGAAGAGACAAGTTCTGTTGCTGCTCTTTCATATTCCTCTGTGGATGAAACACAAGTTCAAAGTCTTTATGTGAGCTGTAAATCTTCTGGGAAGTTTATTTCATCAGTGCATGCAAGAGGGAGTCAGCACAGCAGAAGCCAGAGCAGAACAGTGCTACAGGCCAACACCAACCCTGTATTTGAAAGTCCAGCCTTAGCTGCAGTTGGCATATGCAGAGATGTGATCAGGGAGACCTACTTGGTTCCACCTTCTTGTAAAAGTATTTGCAAAAATTACAATGACTTACATATTGCAGGGGGACAGGTGATGGCCATTAACTCAGTAATGGCAAATTTTCCTTCCGAGAGCAGCTTTGAAGATGGTCCTTTGCTAAAGTCATCTGAGATTTCTTTGTCCATGGAGGATTCCATTTCTACTCAGCTCACTGAACTTCCCCTCAAACCTATCCAGAGGTACTCATCCTACTGGAGGATAACCAGCATCAAAGAGAAAAGCAGCTTGCAAATGCAGAAGCCTATGTCAAATGCAGTGCTCAATGAGTACCTGGAGCAGAAGGTGGTGGAGTTATATAAGCAATACATTATGGACACTGTGTTTCATGACAGTTCTCCTACCCAGATTCTGGCATCAGAATTCATCATGACAAATGTAGATCAACTTAGTCTTCAAGTGTCTAAAGAGAAGAACCTGGACACTTCGAAAGTCAAGGACATAGTTATTAGCCACCTATTGCAGTTGGTATCATCTGAGATCAGCACCCCTAGTCTTCATATTTCTCAGTATAGCAATATAACTCCATAGAGAAGACTCCTGTCAATTCCACTCATTCCTATCAATCCCAAGGAAATATTATATTCATTTGATCAGAGGATGTGATGGAGGGAATTATGGAAGGAATTAGTGACTAGTAAAGGAGAGTTTGAGAAATCATATACTGAAGGGATACAGGAAGAGGAACCACAAGAATGGTTTTAAGGGCAAGTTTATACAGAATCAGAGCATAAATAAAAATGATCACAGAGAGAGGAAGGTATTATGATTTAATTTTAGGAGTAGTGAAATTGGAAGATAAGCCAAATCAAGAACAAAAGGAAACACTATGGCAATCTAGAAAGTCGACAGATTTGAGAATTGGGAATTAAACACCTGTTTCCTATTTATATACATTTGTCTAGGTTATTTCTTCTGAAAAGAGATGAACTACAAGAAGGTTGTTGAATTCTGGTGGACTGACATTTTTCCAAGTATAAGCTTGTATCTTCTTTTCTTCTTTTATGCTGTATCAGTAAGTCATTTAGGTATACTCTTTGTAAATATTAAATGAATAACAAACAAATCTCAATTGTTTAAACATTTTTTGCAACAAGTTTCAATTAGCTTAGATTTGCTTCGAAATCCTTACATAGCCAATAATCTTGACTTCCTTATCCTCCTGCTTCTATCCCACAAGTGCTAGTATTATAGGCATGTGCCATCAAATCTGGATGAGTTTTTATTTTAAATGAAAAGGTACAGCCACAAGACAGTGACTTAAATCTCCTAATTCTATTTAGTAATAGATATAGCATTTTTTTCAACAGAAAACCTCCAACTACGAACATTGAAGCATTTTGTTTTATTTTGTTGAGTGTGACTTTTATGGTGCTGTGCTGTTCAAAAGGAATTATGAATACTTTCCCCCCATTTTCCTTTTTCATGTGTTCTTCTATCATGGAGCCAGAAAAGGCCGTCTGTATGCTCCATACAAGACCAAGGAGTCCATAATTTCAATTTCTGTATATTTGTTTTCTAAAACAGTAGCTTTATATGTGCATGACTGTATTAATCTTTTATTCAGCCCAGGAATTGGAAAACTATGAGCCATTGGTCAAATCTAACTTTATGATAGCTTTAGAGTCTTGTGAGCTAAAGGATAGGTTTCCTTTTTCTCTTTTCTTTCTTTTCCTTTCTTTTTTTCTTTTTCTTATTCTTGAGGGAGGATCTCTTTATTATATAGCTCCAGCTGTTCTGGAACTCCCTATGTATACCAGGCTAGTGTCTAACACACAGAGATCTGTCCACCTGTGCCTTCCACACAATAGAAAGATTAAGGACATATAGCAAAAAAAAAAATTAAAAAAAAAGGACATGTAGCACCACATCACATTTGGCATGTTTTATCATTTTTAACTTTAATATGATTTTAAAAGCCCAAAAGCTTAAGTCAAAAATATTTTACAGCATGTGAAAATTATACGAAATTTAAATTGAAATTCAGTGAATATAAACTAGACTTATTTATTTATTTATTGGCAGGTGAAAATTATATGAAATTTAAAATTGAAATTCAGGGTATAAAAAATAGACTTTATTTATTTATTTATTTATTTATTTATTTATTTATAATTCTGGGGATGGAATTCAAGGCCTTATTCATGACAGGCAAGTTCCCTAACATATCCCACACTGTCTACTATATTTTTTTATTTGTTTGTTTGTTTGTATAGTCTGTGGCTGCTTTTACATAAGAATGGTCGAACAGACATGGCAGAGAACACATGGTGCAACAAAGCCTAATATTCCTTTTTACCATGTGGCTGCTTACAGTGATGTTTGCCAACCCTATTCAATGACAGTGTATTACCCATACTCGATTAAGGTTTGCCCTAAAGCAGGCTTTCGAAAGGACATTGGGGAGCATGTTTATGGAGAATACGTTCCCTCTGTGATGGAATGAGGGAAGTAAATCCAGAGGTTACCAGAAAGAGTTAAAGTAAATCTTTAAAATAGTTCCAAATTGAAACAAGAGAGCAGGCTTTTGTTCTCAAGCATCTAACGTCAAGGTGCGTACCTTGAGCTAAATGCAGGCATTTTTCAGACTGGAAATCTACAGTAAGTCTTAATCAGCCAGACTCTAGGCAGCTATGGTGGCCTCTGTCGTGGCGATAGAATTTCTCTTTCAGAAGGAGGGGTTTGGATTGCACAATCTTTTTAGGATTTTCTATATTTGCATGTGTAGAGTGAAAAAAATGTTTTTTTAAATATAATATTCTATTATGCAAGGAAATCTTATTTCAAAATAATCATTCAGAAATTTTATTCATTAGTTTCTATATATCACCATAATCATTATATCTACTATGCTTTAATTGCCTTCTCTGTATCTATACTGTGTCGAAATATTTTTATGAATGATGTAATTTTCCTAATAACCTGAAAATAGAGAGACCTTTCATTTCCTTAAAGACGAGACAGCTAGGCTAAGGGAAATCACATAATTTGTTCAAAAGCACATAGTAGATGGTAGAAGTGAATTTGAATTCAGTTCCATTTGTTTTTAAAGTTCTGTAGATTTTAATTTTGTTGTTACTTTTGTTATGGAGCTCAGGAAGATTTTGAACTCATGTTCCTAATTCATCAGTCATCCCAGAGCTCAGATTACTGGGCAGATATGCCTAGCTAGAAGTCCTGTTTGTTTTTGTTTGTTTGTTTGTTTATTTTTAAATTTAACAACAACCATTTGCTTTCTCCTGTTTATAATTTTATTTTTCCCCTTGTTCCTGGTTATGAAACCCTGGAAGGTCACATACAAACTAAGGAAACACTTGGCCACTGAGGTCTATTCTCTATCCATTTTATGTTTTATTTATGTCTCTCACTTAGAGAGTCTGACAATGTACCCTGGATGAATTTCAAGTTACTCTGTAATCAAGTTAGGCCTTTAACTCAAAATTTTTTTCCTCAGCTTCCCAAGTAGCTAGGATTATAGGCCTGCACACCAGTCCAGGCTGCTGCCTTCTGCAGGTCTCTTTAAACTTTTCTACTTCAAAATAGGCCAACTCATTAATCTGATAACAGTTATGTTAGTTTATTTCCTTATATACTTATTTTATATCTTTGTCTCCCCTGAATATAAGCTTAAGTCTACTCATGTTTCCCTGCACCCCAAACCCTGCTTAGACACAGCATGTGACTAATATTTGACAAATGGATAGCTAGCTATATTTGGATGATGTTGGATACTTCATCTTCTGATTAAAGTGAAAGGCAATCTATGAGAATCAGGTAACTGTGACTAGAAAAATGTCACTGAAGTTTCTTCTCCAGAAAATACACTAACTGAAGAAATGGGCTTATCAGCAGGCGAAACACATATATAATAAATTATTATCATAGATGTTTTCTTTTGCTTATTGAGACATAATGTTACAAAACCAAATGGTTTGTTTTCCACTAAGCATTCATTTGATGCTGTATTTTGTTGGGTGTATTTTTTTGTTGTTGTTGAAAAAACTGGATCACTGTATGTTTCCCTCTGTCCCTCTTCTCTGCAGATTTAGCACACTACTAAAGAGACCTAGAAGGTAACTTGGGAACAGACAGCAAAGCCAGTTCTTAATTAAGAACTTGGCAAGTTGGTATAAACAGAAAGAGATGAGCAGTGTCAGTGCAAGTGTGATGAGCATTGGAAAGGAGGCACTTTAGTGAGTGCCAGACAGGGGAGGAGCCTGGCGTCAAAAGAGAAACTCCAAAGATAGGTGGTAGTTCAAATATATTCTCAAGAGGAAGACACAGACAGGCAGGAGTATTTGCTGAGGGAGGTATGACAAATGTACGCCTGTAACTGGGATCTCACAGATGCATGGAAAAGAAAACAAAAAGGGCTGGAGGCATAGTTCAGAGGTAGAGAGAGAGCACTTACTTCCCCAGTGTTGTGCAAGAACCTACTTTGATCTCCAGTAACATTTTTAAAAAGGCACAGTAAATGTAGTAAGACCTGTGTAACAACTCTTTAGGGTCAATTGAATGATTTTGAATGTTTTTCTTTCTTTTTGTTTTGTTTTGTTTTTGTTTTTGCAATTTACTAGAATTCGGCAACTGCAGCCCTAATCTATCACTTTATTTTCCTACCTTGTGCTCCAGCCCTATTATTATTATAGGCTTATGCCTAGTATCTTGCCAACTAAGCACTCTGAGGAGTGTCAAAGAAGTCGGAGTTCCTTCACCACGGACTTGAGTCCAGTCACATAACTTTAGTCATGTCACTGAAGAATGGCAGCAGCAGCCACGGCAAGATGCAACCAGCTTAGACGAGCTTCCCTGCATAATGTGAAGGCAGGCAGGCAAAAAACAAAAAGCTTTTCCTGTTCTTTTTTTCTAAACTGCCAACAGAAGGTGTCATTCACATTTAGGATGGGTCTTTGCATTTTAACTGAACTGATAAGAGAAAATCTCTTATGGGTACCTCTGGCTTGGCTGATAGTTGATTCTAGATCCAGTCAAGCAGACACCGTGATCCAGATTTGGCCTTCATCCTGGAGTAGAACTGATACATAGCCATTGCACATTTGCTGTGGTAACAGCTTTATCCTGTGTACACTTTATTGCAGTCTTTTGTGTCCATTGTTTTTCCAAGAATAATCCAATTTTGAGAAGATGGAGATGGAGCAGAATCCCTAGGACCATTTCAGTTGCGAAGCTTCATCTATGACTTACTAAATTTGGATATTAAGAGCATGTTGAAAGTCAAGGCACCTGTGAAACTTCTTTCTAATAGTTCAGTGTTCCTTTTCATAAATGTGTTTTTAAAAGTAAATTTTATATTTTTATTATACATGTTCATTACCTTAAAATACTTTTTATTAGGTATTTTCTTTGTTTACATGTCAAATGTTATCCCGTTTCCCAGTCTCTCCCTCAAATCTCCCTATCCCATCCCCCCTGCTTTTATGAGAGTGTTCACCCACCCACCCACCCACCCACCCACACACTCCTGCCTCCTTGCCTTCGAATTCCCTACACTGAGGCATCAAGCCTTCACAGGACCAAGGGACTTTCCTCCCATTTATCCCCAACAAGGCCATCCTCTGCTACATATGCAGCTGGAACCATGGATCCCTCCATGTGTGCTCTTTGGTTGGCAGTTTAGTTCCTGGAGCTCTGGGGGGGGGGGTCTGGTTGGTTGATATTGTTGTTCTTTCTATGGGGTTGCAAATCCCTTCAACTCCTTCAGTCCTTTCTAACTCCCCCATTGGGGACCCTGTGCTCAGTCCAATGGTTGGCTGTAAACATCCACCTCTGTGTTGATCACGCTCTGGCAGATCCTCTCAGGAGATAGATATATCAGGCTCCTGTCAGCATGCACTTCTTGGCATACACACTAGTGTCTGGGTTTGGTGACTGTATATGGGATAGATCCCCAGGTGGAGCAGTCTCTGGATGGCCTTTCAGTCTCTGTTCCACACTTTGTCTTTGTATTTCCTCCCATGGGTATTTTGTTCCCCCCTTCTAAGAAGGACTGAAGCATCCATACTTTGGTCTTCCTACTTCTTAGCTTCATGTGGTCTGTGGATTGTATCTTGG